GTCATTAAATTTTTATTGCACGGTAAAAATGAAAAAATAAATTAAAATTTTTTTATTTGCTTAAAAGGACAAATAAATAAAAATATATCCTTAAAACGACTAATATGATAAAATAGAGAAAATATATTTATTATACTTTTAATTTATTTTTAAAAAATACAAATTTAATTATATAAAATAATATTAATTATAATGAGCTAATATCAAAATTGTTGTAAAATAAAGAAAGAATTAATTAAAAGAAGAAAAATTAGAAAGATAAAGGGAGGCTATGCAAAGATATAATATATTTTTATTCCTTTCTTCTCCTCTTGTTCTTCATTTGTTCTCTATACATTTACAAAAGTGTGAGCCCTATATGTAGAGGTAAATAGGTGATAGGAGTTATAAAAAATAAACATCTAGTTAAATAAGAGGTTATAAAGATTAATTTCCTACTAATGGAGGAGTTACAAAGAAATCTCATTATTACAATCTAAAAACATGACATTATTGTGGTGTTAATTATCATTGTAATTGCACGGAGGTAGTGGAAGCTACACCATTACTTGGTATGCAAATGCCATGGAAAGTGGGGAGTTGAGAGAATGAAGAAGGTGAAACATCCACAATAAATTGATTTATAACACTCCCCATTGGATGTTCATATTTTATTATACACTTGTTAAACTATCTCATTAAAAACCTTTGTGAAGGGAAAAAGAATATAGTGTGTATAATACTTCTCCCTGAATTCAATATATATTCATAATCAAGTAATTTATATCAATTTAGTGTCTTAACTGTTCAAAGTTCTAGAAGCCAATAATTTTGTAATGCTAATTTGTTAGCTTCTCACTTGAATAAATTTAATAGACACTGTTTCATTATATATTTAGAATATTGATCCAAAAACATCATGTAATTATTGTGATTTAAATTCTACTTGGAAAATCTCCTTTCACATTCTCTAATCATTACTTTGTCGACAATTTTCAATGAATTTGATCTGAAATCCTCATTTTCATTGATTATATCCATTACTATTGCATATGTAAAAATATCCTATCAATAATAATTTCATTTTGGATTCCATCCTTCTTTAGGAGAACCATAATTTATAAAGATCTCATCATTGTATCTAATTTCAAGATACTCATTGTTTTCAAGTACTTAACCCCTTCTTAGGGTAATATTTCAAGAACTCTTTAAGAGTTTTATAATTTTAGCAATACTAATATTTTGTTTATACTTTCTCTCTTTTTTTGAATTTTAATCCTTAGAATCATTCGTTCTAATACGCTTCTAACATATACTCATTTGCTAATATTTTAGGAATTTTTTTAATAGAAATATCAATGCAAGCAGGAGTACTAAAAGCTTAGATATATGATTTATTACTTTTATTTTGTCAATAGATGCATCTATCAATTGATAGTACGAGATTTTGGAATTCCAATTCATATCATTTTATTCAAGGATCTTACAAGATGCATTTTAAGTTATCTCCTACCTCCCCAATATTTATTTCTCTCCCTTCAATGCTAACAACATGATTCCTTTAGATTGACAATCAACAAATTTTTTTCTAAAAAAATCCACAATCAACCCATATAAACTCCTAGCCTTATTTGGGATTATCAAGTCAGTTATGCTCTCAACACAATATTTTATATTGCTTGAGGGACTATTTTGTCACATTCATATTCAAGCATATATTAATGCCATAATATATCAAAATATATTTCAAATAATTGAGCATAGACTTGTACATGTCCTCAAATCCAATATAACAAGAAGGAGATTATATTTCAATTGTATTTGTAAAAGACTTGGTAATCATGTTCTTAGGGGATTCAACACATGAAAAATCACTTTATGGCCAAGTTACTTAGATCCAAATCATTCTGGAATCAACTTTTTGGTTAACCCCAATGTTTGATCCTATTAGATTTATGTATATAATTCAGAAAAGAAATCTTTTCAAATGTGTCTTTTGGCCACATAAAAGATGTGACATAAGGGGTATTTTGTACTATTCTCATTCGTGGTTTCAATATAATAACCATTAAATATTTATACCCTTAAAGTTTAGTAGACTCTAATATAATCTACTAGATACAACTAGTCATATATTTAGAAATTTTGCTTCTTTAAGTTGCAAAATTCAAGCTTTTCAAGAGCAAACAATGTACAAGCTCTTTGGATTTTTCAATCAAGTTTGTAACATAAAACATCACATTAGCTTTAAGCTAAGTGTAATTGGGAATTTTTTTTTTTTTTAGTATATTTCATCTTAGCACAACCATTTACACATCAAAAAATGACACAATTTGTCAAGTTCTATTCCACTATTATACATTTTGTATAATAGGAGTGCATGTATGTCATATTTTACTTATCATAGAGACACCATTACAGATTTATTGTGCGATAGTAATGTTTTATATAATTTCAACTTTTCATCCTTAATTTAATCACTATAATAATGATGCATTTTTTCAAAGTATTTCTTCATCAATATGTAACCTCCATATTGAGAGATATTAAATGAGATTAATATGAATCTCAAAATTTGGGATATAAATTTCATATATGAGAAATATTATTATAAAATTCATATCCATTCATAGATGCATTCTTCTATATCATCTTCCAATTGAAAATGAATTCTTGTTGATGAGACTTGATTTCAAAGAATTCTTCTTTTAGTTCACAATCTCCACATTGGTATATATATTTAATTTCTCAAATATTTGAGTTACTTTTTTCCAACATTCTCAAAATGGATATAATATATCCAAGTTTAAATTAAAATTGTATATCACAAATATCATAGGTGCATATCTGTATTGTTTCCACAAAATATGTTTTTGCACCTTTTCCCTTCTCATTTGGTAAAGCTTGAAACAAATCCAGCAAATACCTAGAGATATATGATGAACACATAAATTGCTTGGATATACAAAAGATATGTGACCAATATTGATTCATGTCATATTTAAGAATTCTCAAATTCTATGCCAACTTATTTTGCAAATATTTTTATTGTTACAGAGTCACATGTCATAACCATTTCATAACCATGATTATAATACGATGTTACATTCTCTTCAAAAAATGGAATCAAACAAATGGTTTTTTGATGATTTTTTTATCAATTCATAATTTTGTTGGCAACAAAAGGATATATATTTGCTTAAAATATACATGTTAAAATTATTTTTGCGAGATTGCTATTTTTAGAGCATATTTGAGGCATGAAAAGAAGAGTATATCTTCTCTAATGTCTTCATCAATAATAATTTTTCTTTTGCATAAAATAATTCGAAATATTTGTGGATTCATACTCGAGTAATAAATGATTCCATACATAACTAGCTTTTTAGAATAATTGCAATTTTCTTTTGACGATCATCTTTCTTCTAAACCATTCCATGGTTCCAGTGAATCATTCATTATTAAATATTCATCTCTTACTTTTTTTTGGACTTCATAATGAAGAAATATCATTTCATCGTAATTTTTCAAGAATGTCTTTTTCTTCAAAAATATTTTCTTTTTATACCCTTTTTAGTCCCTCTACTATAGGAAAAAGCCCCTTTTTAGTCCTTGTATCGAAAAAATCCCCTTTTTGATCCTTACTGTTTGAAATCCGACCCTTTTATTGTCCTTCCGTTAAATTTTGGCTAATGTGACAGGTTAATTAATGGAAAAACTTTCTTTTTTCTTTATTTTAATTATGTGAAAAATACACCTGGTACAACTTGATGACATGGCCAAGTTTTTTTGTTTAATTTAACCTTAAAAATCATGTAATTACATAATTGCCATTACAAATATTTTAAAAATTATTTTGTGATTAATTCGCAAAACGAACCCAGGATCTAGGCTGGGTTTGTGACGAACCCAAGATCTAGGCTAGGTTCGCAACGAACCCAACTCCTAGTTTCATCTACTAATTATGTTTGAATGCTAAGACTTTGTATTTCATATTCCATTTTTCGTTTTCACTGTCTCTGAACATGAATGATGTGGATTTAGCTTTTGAATTTGATTTGATGATTAGATCGTTCTTAGAAATGATTTTGAGTATTGTAGTTGGAGATTCAAATCTCTTCTATTATGTATCTTGGTTTTTATATTAGATTTTGGCTTGCATCTACTGATTCTAAGTATGAAATATTTTGATTTCGTGTTTGAATTTTGACTATTGATTTGATCATTCAAAGAATTGGATCATCGTGACGAATCTAGGTTCGTGACGAACCTAGCGGCATAAGACAGAAGGGGGAAGAAGATGAGGCAAGAGAGAATAAGACAAAAGTGGGAAGAAGATGGGGGCAAATAAGTAATTAAAAGTAAGTATTTTTAATCACAAAATAATTTTTAAAATATTATAATTGCAATTATATAATTAAATAATTTTTAAGGTTAAATTAAACAAAAAAATTTGGCCATGTCATCAAGTTGTACTAAGTGGATTTTTCACATAATTAAAATAAAGAAAAAAATAAGTTTTTTCATTAGTTAACCTGCCACATCAATCAAAATTTAACGGAATGACTAAAAAGAGGTTGGATTTCAAACAGTAATAATCAAAAAAAGGATTTTTTGGTATAAAAACTAAAAAAGAGTTTTTTCCTATAGTAGAAAGATCAAAAATGGTATTTAACTTGTAAAAATTAGTAATTACCAGGCAATTACACATTTTTACATAGAGCAAACAGCGATGGCTCGGATGAATTGCAACAAACAAAGCACGCATGCAAGATGCCACATCAGCAATATGACATAACTCTTCCCAATAATTTTAGGAATTAAAAAAAAAATATATATATATATACATATATATAACTATTTCCTATTTTATGATCCATTAATTAATGAAATGGGATGAATGGAGGTGTACAACAACTTAATATATGCCACTTGTCCTTACATGTGGGTCCAATATACCACTAAGGACAGTGTCACCCCCATTTCCCGACTATAAAAGGAGGTGCCTCCCCTTGCCTCACCCATCATCCGACAAAATACACTTTTCCAGCTTCGCTAATCACCGCCATTCCGCCATACCCCGCCTTCCACAGAGACGACTACTGCATTACAAAATCTATATAAATTTCTTAGATATTAATTGTTGTATCTTTTAGAGACATGGGTAATGCAGATTATGAGTGTCACAAGGTGGCAGTCCCGTCGCCAAAACCATTTCTGCAATCGCTGAAATCCGGTGTGAAGGAGACGTTCTTCCCCGACGATCCTTTTCGTCAGTTTAAGAACCAGCCTCCGTTGAAGAAGGTCCTATTGGGGATTCAGTACCTTGTTCCCATCCTCGAGTGGGCTCCACGCTACACTCTCCAGTTCTTCAAAGCCGATCTCATCGCCGGTATCACCATTGCCAGTCTCGCCGTCCCTCAAGGCATAAGCTACGCCAGTTTGGCAAATTTGCCACCAACCATCGGACTTTGTAAGTACATGTGATCAACACAATTACTGCATTAATTAAACCAAATTACAATGTTTGTAGTCGTTACTAATTACTACCATTGGCAGATTCAAGCTTTGTTCCACCGCTTTTATATGCCATGTTGGGGAGCTCGAGAGATTTGGCAGTGGGTACTCTTGCGGTGGTGTCTCTTCTAATGGCCTCGATGTTGAGCAAAGCGGTAAATCCTACTGAAAACCCCAAGGCCTATCTTCAGTTAGCTCTTACTGCCACTTTCTTTGCTGGAGTTTTCCAAGCTTCCTTAGGCATCTTCAGGTATGTATTTGCTTAAAATTTTAACTTAAAAACAAGCCTATATATACGATTAAGTATATTATTAATCAGCTGTTAATACCATCAAGATATTTACTAAATTACTATCTACTAATTTAAAAACTTTTAATTTAAGGTCAAAATCAGAAATTCAAATTTCTGAAATATCAAGCAATTAATTCTATGATGTACTAAAAAAAAATAATCAGGTGTTAATTTAATTATGCAGACTTGGGTTTATCGTGGACTTTCTGTCACATGCAACCATAGTGGGTTTCATGGGTGGAGCAGCCACAATTGTTTGCCTGCAGCAGCTAAAAGGGATCCTTGGTTTGGTTCATTTTACTCACGAGACCGATCTTGTATCCGTCATGCGCTCCGTTTTAAGCCAAACACACAAGGTAATTAATGATAATCTTGAATATTTTAAAGTCGTATTGGAGTAGTAAATTAACATGATGTAATAATTAATGATATGTTGCAGTGGAGATGGGAGAGTGCTGTCCTGGGCTTCTGTTTCCTTTGCTTCCTCTTGCTTACAAGATACTTTGTAAGAATCTCAAACTCTTTAAATGTTGTTTTCGTTGACTACTACTAGCTAGTAGATATGATTTAAATGACAAAAACTTTCTTATTTGTTATATGTGATCATTTTTTTTTCTTGTTAGCTAGCTAGTTGCTGTTCCACTTTTATGGAACACCAACTCCCCAACAAAATCAAATAAACCATTAATATTTCCCAATAGGTTTCTTTTAGGGCAAGGATCTTGCCAAAATACCGACCACAAATTAGGGTTTTAACGATTTTTCTTTTCTCGTCTTTTTACTTCATTTTTTTTTAATAAATTAATGGTACTTAAAAGTACCTTCCATTTAAGGCTATCCCCTCCCTGCCACCTATTGTTCAAGGAAAGCAAGAAGTTACAATGTTTTTTTTTTTTTAAATACTATTATGATAATATGCATAAAATTTTAATAAAATTGTTTATTCTTTATTTTATCGATCCTTAATTCATAGTAAAATCTTATCTGACCTCTCCGAAGAGTATTATGTTAAGTCTTTAATTGATAATAACTCCTTGACCCCTTTGGCTCTGTTCAATTTTAATAGATTTTTTTCTTTAATAATTTAGGATATAATAATAATTGATAAAAATTCATAATTATCCCTAGTTATTACTTTTTAAATAGATGTATTTATTTAAATAAGTATTGTAATTGTCTTCTTAAAATAATAATAAAATAAAAATAAGATACTTAAATAATATTCTGAATTAAAAAGTGAGATAATTAATTTTGCATGTCCTTAATTAAAAAAAAAAAAGACAGAAAATTAAAATTGATATGGTTGAGGGAGTACATGTTTAACTTTTGCTGATTTGATCTCTGTAATCTGTAGAGCAAAAAAAAGGCGGCCTTATTTTGGATAAATGCGATGGCCCCGTTGACATCGGTCATTCTGGGCAGCGTTCTTGCATACTTCACCCATGCCGAGAAACACGGCGTTCAAGTGGTCAGTTTTCTCTGTCTATTTCTATCACTTTCTAGGCAAACAAGCAGATCCCCAAATCAAACACATGTTCTCCACAAATTTCTAGTGTCCAATAATCAAGCTTGCTTGAGGAAATATGCATATAAAAATATTAATTT